TGGGCTCTAAATGTAATCATAAGTGTCCTTGTAAGAGTGAGACAGGAGGAGTAATGGTGAGAAAAAGGCAATGTGACAATCAAAGCAGAGGGGGATTGGAAGAGTCTATTCTTCTGAGTCTGAAGATGGGTCTATGAGCCAAAGGAATGCAGGCAGTTTCTAGAAGCTAGAAAGGCAAGGAGTCAAATTTTCCCTTACATCCTCTAGAAAAAATGAAGGCCTGCTGACAAGTTGATTTCAGACCACTGAAACTGATTTCAGACTCCAGCACTGTAAGATAATCAATTTGTGTTCTTTTCAGCTATTAAATATGTGGAAATTTATTATAGCAGCAATTAAAAAATTAATTAAAAACAATTTTTTTCAGGTGAGGTCTTCCTAAGAATAAAAAGCAAAAAACAAAAAATTTTTGATTTCTTTAAAATGTAATTTATGCTGAATCCAAGGGGCACCAGAAAGAAAGCAACTTACATGTTTATTTAAAGCATCGTTTTTAACACTAAAAGTCAAGTAACAACTGAAACTCCAAAAAGAAATTTTAAAATTATACACAACTATTCAAAGTTGTCATAGAGCTGGGCATGGTGGCTCACGCCTGTAATCCTGGGAGGTCAAGTGGGGGGTGGGTCACTTGAGGTCAGGAGTTCGAGATCAGCCTGGCCAACATGGTGAAACCCCATCTCTACTAAAAATACAAAATTAGCTGGGTGTGGTGGTGGCACCTGTAATCCCAGCTACTTGGGAGGCTGAGGCAGAAGAATCACTTGAATCTGGGAGGCAGAAATTACAGTGAGCCGAGATTGTGCCACTGCACTCCAGCCTGGGCAAAAAGGGCGAGACTCTATCTAAAAAAAAAAATTAGCTGGGCATGGTCATGCATGGCTGCAGTCCCAGCTACACAGGAGCCTGTGGGATGAGAATTGCATGAACCTGGGAGGCAGAGGTCACAGTGAGCTGAGGCTGCACCTCGGCACTCAAGCTGGGCAAGACAGCAAGACTCTGTCTTGAAATAAATAAATAAAGTACAGTGTTATGATACTTTATAAAAAGAGATTCTAGGCCAGGCACAATGGTTCAGCACTCTGGGAGGTTGAGGCAGGAGTATCACTTGAGCCCAAGAGTTTGGGAGCAGTCCAGACAATATAGTGAGATCCTGTCTCTACAAAATAAAAATAAATTAGCTAGGCGTGGTGTGCATGCCTGTACTTCCAGCAACGAAGGAGGCTGAAGTGGAAAGATCATCACTTGAGCCTGGGAGGTCAAGGCTGTAGTGAGCAGTGATCGTTCCACTGTACTGCAGTCTGGGTAACAGAGTAAGACCCTGTCTCAAAAAAAAAAAAGATCCTACCTTATCTTACCTATCTTATCTGATACTTGGTAACACTGATATTTATCACTTAATGCTTCATACTCTTGATTTTATAATTTGAGCAGGCAGAATATAAAATAATGGGCATTTGTTAAAATGATGGCATCAATTATAATAAAATTATATGCTTTGAGGCCCATAAAAGATAGTCACAACCAGTCATTCTATGTTAGAGAAATAATTTGAAGTTAGTCTTGGTTCGTATCTTCTGTACTGGTATAATTGTTAGCAGTGCCTGCTTTCACTCCCAAGTCCTGGTAAATGATGGCTATTCTATATAATCCATTTCAGAAAAGAATAATTACACTGAAGTAATTTTATAAATTTACTGTTTAGTCTGTGATGGGAAATATCAACTATCACTAACACTTGGAAAATACAGGTGTGGCAGTATTTATTTATTTATTTATTTTTGAGATGGAGTTTCGCTCTTGTTACCCAGGTTGGAGTGCAACGGCGCGATCTTGGCTCACCGCAACCTCCGCCTCCTGTGTTCAGGCAATTCTCCTGCCTCAGCCTCCTGAGTAGCTGGGACTACAGGCGTGCACCACCATGCCCAGCTAATTTTTTGTGTTTTTAGTAGAGACGGGGTTTCACCATGTTGACCAAAATAGTCTCGATCTCTTGACCTTGTGATCCTCCCACCTCGGCCTCCCAAAGTGCTGGGAGTACAGGCTTGAGCCACCGCGCCTGGCCTCACAGTATTTAATATTCAATTATTTAAATAATTTTGCAACCACAAAAAAGAACAAGATCATGTATTTTGCAGGAACATGGATGGCACTAGAGGCTATTATTCTTAGCAAACTAACGCAAGAACAGAAAACCAAATACTGCATGTTCTCACTCATAAGTGGTAGCTAAATGATGAGAATTTATGAACACAAATTAAAAAACAGGCCAGGCATGGTGAATACCTGTAATCCCAGCACTTTGGGAGGCCGAGGCAGGCAGATCACAAGGTCAGGAGTTAGAGACCAGCCTGGCCAATATGGTAAAACCCCTCTACTAAAAATAGAAAAAATTACCTAGGCATGATGGTGAATACCTGTAAGCCCAGCTACTCGGGAGGCTGAGGCAAGAGAATCACTTGAACCCGGGAGGCAGAGGTTGCAGTGAGCCAAGATCCCGCCATTGTACTCCAACCTGGGCAACAGAGCAAGGCTCCATTAAAAAAAAAAAAAAAAAGGAACCAACAGACACACACTAGGTCTACTTGAGGGGGTAAGGTGGGAGGAAGGAGAGAAGCAGAAAAGGTAACTATTGGGTACTGAGTTTAATTCCTGGGCGATGAAACAGTCTGTATAACAAACCCCTGTAACATGAGTTTATCTATATAACAAACCTTCACATGTACCTCTGAACCCAAAAGTTTAAAAATAAATATATAAATATGGCTGGGTGTGCAGGTTCACACCTGTAATCCCAGCACTTTGGGAGGCTGAGGTGTGTGGGTTTCTTGAGCCCCAGGAGTTTGAGACCACCCTAGCCAACACAGAGAAACCTCTCTCTACTAAAGATATAAAATATTAGCTGGGAATGGTGGTGCATACCTGTAATCTCAGCTACTCAAGAGGCTGAGGTACAAGAATCGCTTGAACCCTGGAGGTAGAGATTGTGGTGAGCTGTGACTGTGCCACTGCACCCTGGGTGACAGAGCAAGACTGTCTCAAAAGAAAAAATAAATAAAATTTTTCCCCTACAGGGAAGCAAAGTAAATTTTGTGAGTTGAAAAGTACTAAGAGCCAGGTGCCAAAAACTATATATATATATAGTTTTTTTTTTTTTTTTGGAGTCTCACTCTGTTGCCCAGGCTGATGTGCAGTGGCACAATCTCAGCTCACTGCAACCTCCACCTCCCAGGTTCAAGCGATTCTCTTGACTCAGCCTCTGGAGTAGCTGGGACTACAGGTACATGCCACCATGCTCTGCCTAAGTTTTTATATTTTTAGTAGAGACAGGGTTTCACTGTGTTAGCCAGGAGGGGGTGCCAAAATATTTTTAGGTAATTTTGAAACCATCGCAAATCGAAATCATTAATTTATTTAAGATTATTCAAAGAAAAATGTCAATATAACAACTATAATTCTAGATTGGATCATACCATGTTTCAAAATACAGAAGTTTAAGGCCAGGTGTGGAGCTTATATCTATAATCCCAGCACTTTGGGAGGCCAAGGCAAGAGAATTGCTTAAGCCCAAGAGGTTGAGACCAGCCTGGGCAACATAGCTCATGAGACATTGTCTCTACAAAAAAAATTAAAAAATTAGCCGGGCATGGTGGTGCCTACTTGTAGTCCCAGCTACTCAGGAGGCTGAAGTGGGAGGACTGCTTGAGCCCAGAAGGTCAAGGCTGCAGTGATCTGCTGTGATCATGCCACCACACTCCAGCCTGGGTGACAGAGTGAGACCTTGTCTCAAAAAAAAAAAAAAAAAATGTAGAAATAAATGAGTGTGAGCCTATTAACCTGATTATTCTTGAAGATATATGTTCCAAACAATCTCTAGATGAGATAACAGCTCCAAAGTCCTCCCTTTAATATCATAAAATGTCATAAAAACCTAAACAAATGGCTTAGATTTTAGGATTGAGGTCACTAAAATCAGTTTGGACACCCTAAAATTTGTATCTTACCCATAAAACTGAAAAGAATAATATGCTGACTCATGGTGCAGGCTTCTCTTTTATAATCATAAAAGCAGATCAGGCGGGGCATGGTGGCTCATGCCTGTAATCCCAGCACTTTGGGAGGCCGAGTTGGGTGGATCATGAGGTCAAGAGATCGATACCATCCTGGTCAACATGGTGAAACCCATCTCTACTAAAATTACAAAAAAATTAGCTGGGCATGGTGGCACGTGCCTGTAATCCCAGCTACTCAGGAGGCCAAGGCAGGAGAATTGCCTGAACCCAGGAGGCAGAGGTTGCGGTGAGCCGAGATCGCGCCATTACACTCCAGCATGGGTAACAAGAGCAAAACTCCATCTCAAAAAAGAATAATAATAATAATAATAATAATAAATAAAAGCAGATCATTTTAAGGAATTATCAAACTTACATTTAAAAAGAACAGTTGGTCACGGTGGCTCACACCTGTAATCCCAACACTTCGGGAGGCTGAGGTGGGCAGATCACCTGAGGTCAGGAGTTCAAGACCAGCCTGGCCAACATGGTGAAACCCTGTATCTACAAAAATACAAAAGTAGCCAGCCATGATGGCAGGTGTCTGTAATCCCAGCAACTCAGGAGGTGGAGGCGGGAGAATTGCTTGAACCTGGGAGGTGGACATTGCAGTGAATCGATATCTCGCCATTGCGTTCCAGCCTGGGCAACACAGCAAGGCTCCATCTCTCAAAACACACACACACACACAATAAGAATATGAAAAAATCTTTTCTTCCTAAGATTTTCCAGGGAACTGGCAAAGAAAGGGGTAAAAACAGTTTAAATGGTAAATTCAGAGTGGCCACATGAGATCAGCTTTCCACATTTGTGAAATATAATCATCTCTATTGAATGTTACTGAAAATGGAAACAGGGTAAAATATAACTGCAGAATACTGCTTTACAAAAACTTTCAGAAAATCATATTCTTTAGGTATTTTTCCCATTCACTTCATATAATCTGGATTCATTCATGCCATAGTGTTTATTTACATCTTATAGTAACAATTCTACTTGTACACATTGATTTCACAACATCAGTAAATTTATATACTTGGAGATTTGCTTCTGGGTTACAATTCTTCCTCTGCATCTCGTGACCGTTTTGGGTATTCAAGGAATCTTCTGTCTGCAATGAACATGCAGAAGTAATAACAGTATCTCTAAATCCCTGAGGCTGCAAGATAAAAAATATAAATATAAAAATATGCTTTAAGAACATCTTCAAAAAAGACCTATCTTCAAAATATTTTTAAGTAATTGGTAAGAAAGCTACTTTGTTCTAGGGCCAGGTGTGGTGGCTCACACCTGTAGCTCCAGAACTTTGGGAGGCCAAGGCAGGCAGATGATGAGGTCAGGAGTTTGAGACCACCCTAGCCAACATGGTGAAACCCCATCTCTACTAAAAATACAAAAATTAGCGGGACATGTTGGCGCATGCCTGTAGTCCCAGCTACTCGGGAGGCTGAGATAGGAGAATTGCTTGAACTTGGGAGGCAGAGGTTGCAGTGAGCCAAGATCATGCTACTGCACTCTAGCCTGGGTGACAGAGCGACAATTTGTCTCAAAAAAAGAAAAGAAAAGAAAGCTACTTACTTCTTGAGATAGATATTTATCACCCACTATGAATGAAGAGGATAAACCTCATGGTTATTTGTCTAAGCCTGGGCTATATGAGAATATTTTACATATACTTATTTATATGCATGCATACACACACATACAGAAATAACAATTTATTATAAAAATGTTCTCGGCTGGGCGCAGTGGCTCACGCCTGTAATCCCAGCACTTTGGGAGGCTGAGGAGGGTGGATCACGAGGTCAAGAGATCGAGATCATCCTGGTCAACATGGTGAAACCCCGTCTCTACTAAAAATACAAAACATTAGCTGGGCATGGTGGTGTGTGCCTGTAATACCAGGACTCAGGAGGCTGAGGCAGGAGAATTGCCTGAACCCAGGAGGTGGAGGTTGCGGTGAGCCGAGATCGCGCCATTGCACTCCAGCCTGGGTAACAAGAGCGAAACTCCATCTCAATTTAAAAAAAAAAATTAAAATAAATAAATAAATAAATAAAAATGTTCTCTAAAGGACAATCCTAACAAACTTTAAAATGGCTTTGTTAGAAGAACTGAAAGGAAATAACCTAAGTCTTCAATACTTTACAGATTTATTTTCATCATTAAATACTCTAAAGTTTTCCAACTAGGATATTTCCAATGCACCTGGATAGTGCAAAGTCCAGGTGGATAATTCAGTTTCAGAATCTCTATTTCTGTTTTTGTCCTTATAAAAATGAGATAAAGCCGCGAGCAGTGGCTCATGCCTGTAATCCCAGCACTTTGGGAGGCTGAGTCGGGCGAATCACTTGAGGTCAGGAGTTTGAGACCAGCCTGGCCAACATGGCAAAACCCTGTCTCTACTAAAAATACAAAAATTAGCCAGGCGTGTTAGCACACACCTGTAATCCCAGCTACTAGGGAGGCTGAGGCAGAAGAATTGCTTGAACCAGTGGGCCAGAGTTTGCAGCAAGCCAAGATCACGCCACTGCACTCCAACCTGGGCAATACAGCGAGGCTCCATCTCATTAAAAAAAAAAGAAAAATGAGATGCCAAAAATATACATGGTTCTCAACATTATTGATAAATATGCATATTTTATCCAAAAATATGTGTTCTATGATGTAAATTCACAGAAAAATTAACATCTTAAAGTGGGCTATATTTGGTGGCTACAATAGCTCTATAATACCTACAAGACCAAAATAAGTAATATTAGTTGTTTTTCTTTTCTGGAAATCTTCAACAACTTTCTCTTTAAAGATTTTTAATATCCTGACATTACATATGGCATGGAACATGCTACCTGAAAATAAGTATTTCCTCTGTTCTTAAGAATAAATTTCAGTCCATTTGTGACTACAATATTCTGTATATTACTATTTTGGGGACAATGTAAGCATCAAAAGCTGTCCTCAAATATGCTTGCTGCCTAAAGAAGTTAACAAAAGCAAGCTGTAAATTCTCTCTTTAGATAATTACTGCCCACCAATATAAAAATCCCACTCTCATCAAATAATACTGACTGTGATTTGAAACAGTACTGTGGATTCCTTCTGGCTGGGTGACTTGTACAATGTTGCCAACCTGCTCAAAGAAAAATAATACATACAAACACATGAACTTAATTAATTAAAACTTCAAATGACCAAACTCATAATTTAAATGTATAGGTTTATTATATTAATAAATCTATTATTTTTTTCTGTAAGGACAAAAAATAGAGAGAAATATTAAAATACACCCTTAAATACCTGTATGTATTTAACAGAGTTGTTTAGATGAGTGAAATTTTAAAGCAATCTAAAAGTTCAATGACTGATTTAAAGAAACTATCTTATATATGAGATATTAGTTATGCTAAAAACTAAAGGTAAAAGGCCAGGCGTGGTGGCTCACACCTGTAATCCCAGCACTTTGGGAGGCCAAGGTGAGCAGATCATGAGGTCAGGGGTTTGAGACCAGGCTGGCCAATATGGTGAAACCCCATCTCTACTAAAAATACAAAAATTAGCTGGGGGTGGTGGCGCGTACCTGTAGTCCAAGCTACTTGGGAGGCTGAGGCAGGAGAATTGTTTGAACTCAGGAGGCAGAGGTTGGAGTGAGCCGAGATCGAGCCACTGCACTCTAGCCTGGTGCCTGGCAACAGAGCAACACAGTCTCAAAAAAAAAAAAAAAAAAAAAAAATTAGCCAGGCATGGTGGCAGGTACCTCTAGTCCCAGCTACTTGGCAGGCTGAGGCAGAAGAATCGCTTGAACTCAGGAGGCAGAGGTTGGAGTGAGCCGAGATTGTGCCACTGTACTCCAGCCTGGGCAACAGAGAGCAAGATTCTGTCTCAAAACAACAAAACAAAACAAAACAAAACAACAACAACAACAACAACAAAACAAAACTAAAGTTGGAAGAAAATATTCAATGAGATAGGAAAGTGTTAATAATATACTAAATAAGTTATACTGAATAATCTTATATTTATAAGTATGTATACAGACATCTAAAAAAATTGATAGAAGACTACAATCAAAAAGTTAATAGTTGGGAGCTTGGGCGGAGCCCGAGCAGGGCGCGCTGCCTGGAGCTGCCTGGAGCTGCCTGGGCTGAGGTGCCGGCCACGTCCCCGCGCCCGGTCTCGGGCTCCTTCCTGCGGTTTGAGGGCCGCCGGGCCGCCGCGGGCCTCCCGCGCCCGGATGCGTCTGTTCCCGGAGCGGAGAGTCTACCTTCGTCTCACATGTGCCACAAAGGATGGCATGGCCCAGGAGTGCCCCACCACGTGGCTTTCACCCCCTGCAAAGCCAGATCTTACCCGACAACACAGTGCCAAGCCCACAGCTCTCCAAGGAGAAAGATGGCCCAGGCTGGGAGCATGCCCTTAGCAGCAGCCTCTGGCAACTTTGTCCCTAACAAGACGTGGCATGGATTAGTGAAGAGGAATGCATCTGTGGAAACACTTGATAATAAAACGTCTGTGGGTATAACCATGGCAGCATCTCCTGTCACGTTGACTAAAGGGACTTCCGTAGCCCCCCTCAACTCTACGGAAGACACACCAGAGGACACAAGCAGGACAGATGTGGGTGAACCAGTAACTTCAGGAGGTGCAGCTGATGGTGTGGCCTCCAGCGCTCCCACGACTGCGGCCTCCAGCACTTCCAGGTCTGCGGCCTCCAGCACTTCCAGGTCTGCGGCCTCCAGCACTTCCAGGTCTGCGGCCTCCAGCGCTCCCACGACTGTGGCTTCCAGCACTTCCAGGTCTGCTGCCTCCAGCATTCCCACGACGCTCACACCGCCTGGGCCCACGTCCCTGTTCGCAGGGCAGACCCCATCTACTACCGCTGCCGGGCACCCATCTCTCAGCACAGCCCTCGTACAAGTGCCAAGTAGCAGCTCGTCGCCAAGAACAGCAGCCCTGGCCACAATGGCCACACGTGCTCAGACTGTAGCTACCAGAGCAAACACAAGCAGACCCATGAGCACTCCCAGTCCTTCTGAGTACATGACCAGTGACACCATGGCAAGCCCTACACCCGCTACACATCCCCAAGCACAAGGTCCCACTCGCCAGGTGTCAGTGGATCAGCCCGTGGTTAACACAACAGACAGATCCATACCGCCCTCAAACACATCTCCAGAGCCCAGTGCCACCCACTCTGTGGCTTTGGTGTCCCCCACAGTGGTGACCACCCCCAAGCCACAATCCAAGGAGCCAACTGCCAGCACAGTGCCAGCACCTCACATTAGCCCAGTGTCTGAGGTGGAGGCCACGTCCCTCACAACACAGCCAAGCCCCACGCCATCTACCCCAGGGGCCACTGGGCCACGCACACCCCAGGCACCAGAGCAGGTAGAGACTAACGCCCCTGCGCCAACACCCAGGAGCTCAGGGGACCCCAAGATGCCAGCCACGGACTCATGCCAGCCCAGCACCCAAGACCAGTACCTGGTGGTCACTACCGAGACCCTCACCCAGGCTGTGGTGGACAAAACATTCCTCCTGGTGGTGCTCTTACTCGGGGTGACCCTGTTCATCACAGTCTTGGTTTTGTTTGCCCTGCAAGCCTATGAGAGCTACAAGAAGAAGGACTACACCCAGGTGGACTACTTAATCAACGGGATGTACGCAGATTCTGAAATGTGAGGGCGGCGGGGCCTGGCGGGAGGCGGGCCCCTTCCTTGTCCTTTCCTTTTGCCTTTGAGACCAAACCAAGTGCTTCCAAATTCTTTTGGTGCAGTTTAGGAGATATGCCAGATGCTTAAACACATTTCATTGCTGTCAGATAATTCCATGATCACTAAAGAGTTGCTGCTTTTTTCATATTTATTTTTGTAAATGATCCTGTGCCCAGGAGCAGCTGGGGGTTCCACCTCAGGGCAGGATGGGCAGAACCCTGTGCCCCCAGGTGTCAGAGCCTGACCTGAATTAAAGGACTGACTGCTCTCCGCAAAAAAAAAAAAAAAAAAAAAAAAAAAAAGTTAATAGTTGTTATCACGAGGTGAAGGTTGCTTGCTTTTATTTCCCAAACTGTCTCTAGTAAATCATGTATTTTTTTGTTATTGCTGAAGAACTGTGATAATTTCTTATACTACAAATGAGAAACACTTATTCATATTATACCAATAATAATAAGACAGGAAGACATTGTTTTAAAATGATATGGCTCATGTCTGTAATCCTAGCTCTTTGGAGGCCAAGGTGTGAGGATCGCTTGAGATAAGGAGTTTGAAGCCATCCTGAGCAACACAGTGAGGCCCCCATCTCTACAAAAATAATAATAATAATAACATAAAATGATTATGTCCCAAAAATAAGACATGACAGAACAGTATCTGGGATTTTATTATGTCTTATACAAAATAATATATAAAACTGAAAGCTGAAGGTAGCTGAGAAATTTCTAAGCTCTTATTAACTATATTCAAGTAGTGTAACTGCAACAAAATAAACAAAAACCTTTAAAACTGCTTTTTGGCCAGGTGTGGTGGCTCATGTCTGTAATCCCAGCACTCTGGGAGGCTAAGGCGGGAGGATCACCTGAGGTTGGGAGTTCGAGATCAACCTGATCAACTTGGATAAACCCCATTTCTACTGAAAATACAAAATTAGCTGGGTGTGGTGGTGCATATTTGTAATCTTGCTTACCTAGGAGGCTGAGGCAGGAGAATTGCTTGAACCTGGGATGCTGAGGTTGCAGCGAGCTGAGATCAGGCCACTGTACTCCAGCCTGAGCAACAAGAGTGAAACTCCATCTCAAACAAACAAACAAACAAAAACAACAACAACAAAACTGCTTTTAAGAATTACTTTAGGCTGGGCATAGTGGTTCAGCTTGTAATCCCAGAACTTTGGGAGGCTGAGGTGGGCAAATCACCTGAGGTCAGGAGTTCGAGACCAGCCTGACTAACATGGAGAAACCCTATTGCTACTAAAAATACAAAATTAGCTGGGTGTGGTAGCATATGCCTGTAATGCCAGCTACTTGGGAGGTTGAGGCAGGGGAATCACTTCAACCTGGGAGGTAGGAGTTTCAGTGAGCCGAGATCACGCCACTGGACTCCAGACCGTGCAATAAGAGCAAAAGTCCATCTCAACAAACAAACAAACAAAAAATATACTTTAAAACTGATACACTTACAAGCAAAAAAACAAAAAATAAATAAATAAAATAAATAAAACTGATACACAGTAACTTATTGACAACAGCCAGAATGTAGAAGCAACCCAAGTATCCATCCACAGATGAATTAACAAAACGTGGTATGTATATACAATAGAATATTATTCAGACTTAAAAAGGAAAAAAATTCTGACACATGCTACAACATAATGAGCCATGAAGACATTATACTAAGTGAAATAAGTCAGTCACACCAGAACAAATATTGTATGATTCCAATTATACGGCGTAGGTAGACGAGTCAAATTCAGAGACAAGGTAGAATGGCGATTGTCAGGGGCTAGGGGTAAAAAAGAATGAGAGTTAGCATTTAATGGGTACAGAGTTTCAGTATGGGAAGATGAAAAAAGTTCTGAAAATGGATGATGATGGCTGCATAATATTAATGTACTTAATGCCAATGAACTATACGTAAAAATTGTTGAAGTGGTACATTTTTTTTGACACAGCATCTTACACTGCTGCCCAGGCTGTAGTGCAGTGGCGCAGTCTCGGCTCACTGCAATCTCTGTCTAGTGAGTTCAAGCAATTCTCCTGCCTCAGCCTCCCGAGTTGCTGGGACTACAGGCATGCGTCACCATACCCAGCCAACTTTTTTGTACTTTTAGTAGAGACGGGGTTTCACTATGTTGGCCAAAATGGTCTCCATCTCCTGACCTGTGATCCGCCCATTTCAGCCTCCCAAAGTGCTTGGATTACAGGCATGAGCCACTGCACCTGGCTAAAGTGGTAAATTTTATGATACATATATATATATATATATATATATATATATATATATATATATATAAAAAACCACAACTTAATAAAACGGATATAATATGATCCTGCCCCTTGGATGGAAAAAAAACCCTGATATAATACACAAAATACATATTCTAAAGTAAAGGAAAATAAGATTCTCAGAGTTATAAGGGTCATTTATTTACACAAAACATAATGATTTGCTTTCAAAGACAATTCAAAAAGGACATTTTGGCTATGATTTGTTACCCTCTTAATTTTGAAATTGCCCCTCTTTTCAGACATAATTCAAAAGAAAAACAGAGACCAAAAAACAGCAGAATCCAAAATGTCCTATACTCCATAATCGTAACTTTACACATAAACAAAATAACTACTAAGTAATATGTAATATAAAAATAGCTGTGTGCGGCCGGGCGCTGTGGCTCACGCCTATAATCCCAGCACTTTGGGAGGCTGAGGCGGGTGGATCACGAGGTCAAGAGATCGAGACCATCCTGGTCAACAAGGTGAAACCCCATCTCTACTAAAAATACAAAAATTAGCTGGGCATGGTGGTGCATGCCTGTAGTCCCAGCTACTAGGGAGGCTGACACAGGAGAATTGCTTGAACCCAGAAGGCGGAGGTTGCAGTGAGCTGAGATCATGTCATTGCACTCCAGCCTGGGTAACAACAGCAAAACTCCATCTCAAAAAAAAAAAGAATAGCTGTGTGGAGCCAGGTGTGGTGGCTCATGCCTGTAATCTCAGCACTTTGGGAGGCCGAGGTGGGCAGATCACAAGATCGGGAGTTTGAGACCAGCCTGGCCAACATGGTGAAACCCTGTCTCTACTAAAGAAACAAAAACAAAAATTACCCAAGTGTAGTGGTGTGCAACTGTAATCCCAGCTACTCGGGAGGATAACGCAGGAGAATCGCTTGAACCAGGGAGTTGGAGGTTGCAGTGAGCCAAGATTGCATCACTGCACTCCAACCTGGGCAACAAGGCAAGCCTTAGTCTTAAAAAAAATAAAGAATAGCTGTGTTGAGTGGGATTATAAACTTTTAGGGTTGATAATCTATCTTTAATGCAAAAATTCACAGAAAAAGAGAGGCAAGGTGTATTTTAACCTGCCTTTATTAGGAAATCACTTTTTGAACAACAAAAATCAGCTAGCCTGCCAAAAAATTAGTATCCAAATCACCTCATATCAACAGTATGTCCAAAAAAGATACCCAGTACATCTATCCCAAGGAAATTATTAAAAAGTAATAAGCTTTTAAGAAGCATTTACATGCTTATTAAGAATCCTTAAGTCAGCTGGGCACAGTGGCTTATGTCTGTAATCCCAGCACATTGGGAGGCTGAGGTGGGTGGATCACTTGAGGTCACGCATTCAAGACCAGCCTGGCCAAAATAGTGAGACTCCATCTGTATAAAAATACAAAAATTAGCCAGGTGTGGTAGCACATGCCTGTAATCCAGCTACTTGGGAGGCTGAGGCAGGAGAATTGCTTGAACCGGGGAGGTGGAGGTTGCAAGGAGCTGATATTGTGCCACTGCAATCCAGCCTGGGTGACAGAGTGAGGCTCCATCTCAAAAAAACAAACAAACAGAATCCTAAAGTCAAAGGGCCATTAATATTCAGGCTGAAAATCAACCTCAAATTTCTAGGTAAAAATACCATTTTTATACATCATGTCTTTTTAGAAATCTTTTTTTTTTTTCCCGGAGACAGAGTTTCACTCTTCTTGCCCAGGCTGGAGTGCAATGATGCCATCTCGGCTCACCCTCGAAACCTCCGCCTCTTGGGTTCAAGCAATTCTCCTGTCTCTGCCTCCCGAGTAGCTGGGATTACAGGCACTTGCCACCATGCCCAGTTAATTTTGTATTTTTATTACAGATGGGGTTTTTCCATGTTGGTTGGGCTGGTCTCGAGCTCCCAACCTCAAATGATCTGCCCGCTTCGGCCTCCCAAAGTGCTGGGATTACAGCTGTGAGCCACTGCGCCCGGCTAGAGATTCTTTTTAAATGAAAAACTAAACCAAAGAATCACTTGGCTCATGGCCCCAGCTGAGATGTAGCTTAACATATGGCTGAACTACATAGTTTGGGTCAGGAAGAAACAAGACAGAAGCATAATTTGTGCTCTAAAACTGAGCACACATATGAAACACTGTGTGGAGGTGTTGATTTATTACTCTACCACCAGATCTTCTTGGCAAAGAGTAGTGTAATTCTGAATAATCTTGGCCTCATATAATCATGAATATGCAAATTGGAGGAAAACCCACATATTATAAAGACACAGATAAAGGTATTTATTTTAATAACTGTTGGAATATTATTCCATCATAGTCTAAGGGTAAAAATCAGGTGTTACTGGTAAAGGATGGGGTCTGGGGCATGGGACAGTACACTTAAGTTCAATTCCCAATATAAATTTGGCTATTTAAGATTTTTATTTCTGGACAGGTGCCGTGCCTCATGCCTACAATCCCACCACTTTGGGAAGCCAAGGTAGCTGGACTGCCTGAGCTTATGAGGTCAAGACCAGCCTGGGCAACATCTCGAAACCCTGTTTCTACAAAAATTACAAAAATTAGCTGGGTGTGGTGGTACATGCCTGTGGTCCCAGCTACTTGGGAGGCTGAGGTGGGGCGACCGCTTGAGCCCAGGAGGTTGAGGCTGCAGTAACCTGAGATCATACTACTGCACCACTGCACTCCAGCCTGGACAACAAAGCAAGACCCTGTGTCAAAAAAAAAATTTTTTTTAGTGTTCCTATCCAAATGAAAAATGTTCTTTTTTTTTTTTGAGACCGAGTTTCGCTCTTGTTACCCAGGTGGAGTGCAATGGCGTGATCTCGGCTCACCGCAACCTCCGCCTCCTGGGTTCAGACAATTCTCCTGCCTCAGCCTCCTGAGTGGCTGGGATTAGAGGCACGCGCCACCATGCCCAGCTAATTTTTTGTATTTTTAGTAGAGACGGGGTTTCACCATGTTGACCAGGATGGTCTAAAATGTTCATTTTTATAATTATTTTTCCCTGATACAAATTTCCATTTTCATCCTTTTAAAATAAACTAAAATTTTAAAAGCATAAAGCATACAAAATTTCATGGAACTTTTTTTTTTTTTTTGAGATGGAGTCTCGCTCTGCTGCCCAAGCTCACTGCAACCTCTGCCTCCTAGGTTCAAGCAATTCTCCTGCCTCGGCCTCCTGAGGAGCTGAGATTAAAGTAACCCACCACCATGCCTTGCTAACATTTTTGTATTTTTAGTAGAGACAGGGTTTTGCCATGTTGGCCAGGCTGTTCTCGAACTCCTGACCTCAGGTGCCTTGGCATCCCAAAGTGCTGGGATTATAGGCGTGAACCACCGTGCCCGGCCTGGAAATACCATTTTTAAAGTAGACACAAACTGCACGATCAGTTGCAAAAGATATACACAGAAGTGTAATCAGTTACGATACGAGCTTCAGGTCAGTAAAACCTAACTTGGTCAGGCAGGATTTTTTTATTTGTAGAACAACAAAGAAATGCAGATTAAAAAACAGACAATTTCACTGGCTAGGCCCAATATGTATTTAAGTGACCCTTTAGTCCATCTTTGCTTGCATGCGATCTTAATTTCTCCCTTTATTAGAGCATTTCCAAACCAAGATCTCTATGTAATACCAATTAATCACAAAGCAGAGAGGCTAGCATAAATCTGACATTTTCTGTAAGTGTAGGAAAGACTTCACAGCTTTCAATGGCCTATTTTCAAGAAAATAAAAGCTGCTTTGTTCACTTGCTCAGCTGCTTTAAAAACAAATACAAAGACTTCATGCTGCCATACTTTTAAAGAACAATACTTGTGAAAGTGGATAATAAAAGCCAGACAGCAAAATACAAAATAAAAAAAACAGACACAATTTCATACAAGAAATACACTAAGCAACTAAGAAAAACAACTCTATCTTCCAAATAAATTAATTTTAAAGCTAACTTCAACAATTTTCCTTTTGTCCTGATTTTATTCTTTCTTTTCAATCTCTTCCAGGAACATAGAGTACTAACCTCCTTCTTCATGGCTAATAAATGATTTCAAAGTGCTTTAGAAAATGGCATTCCTTGGCCACCTACTCATTTCAGGTGCATGCACCCCATCATTTAAATATTCCAGAGAATTTCCTATGTAGCTAAATGTGCAGTAATAACAACACATTTCTATGTTTCCTCTAGGTGATATCAGACAAGGCAACAATATAGATCATTGTACATCTAACCCACAGGACTAGCTCTAAGAAACTTCTAAGTGTTCATTCAGTGTAATCAACCCAATATTCAGAATTATTAACTTGTTTCTATACTGACCTTTGCTTTAGGTCCCAATGAAAGATTAGCCGTATTGTAGCAGCATGTCCCCAACTTTCCCCTGAGAATAAAGAACATAATAACTGTATATTGCCTTACTGACTTGGTTATAAATTTCTCAGAATGCCCCTGATCAAGTATAATCTTACTTTACTTAATTTAACATAACAAAAGTATACTTGCTTTAAAAAAAAAACCTGGGAAATGAGTAACATCCTGAGATGATAAGATTTTTACCTATCTAGGGGAATATTGCAAATCATTATCCTCTATTTGCTTTGAGAAAACTTGATAGTCTGAGTCCATATATTTGCCAATTTTCCAAATCATCAAACTTAACATATTTCTGACCTCCAGAAGAAAAGTAAAAACTCTGGTAAAATATTCTTTAAGATTTTAGTGGACATACATCTTGAAGCATTGCATTCTAACAAAACCACGATATTTACTGTAGTGTGATTTAAGTGGATTCACCCCTCCTTCTGACTAACGCTGTGAATTATCTGGGGGCAAGAATCTTTGACACAGCAGTTACTAGACAGTAGATACGCAATTTTTTGAGACAGTCTCGCTCTGTCACCAAGGCTGGAGTGCAGTGGCAGGATTCCAGCTTCTCACAGCCTGCATCTTCCAGGTTCAAGCAATTCTCTTGCCTCAGCCTCCCAAGTTGGTGGGATTACAAGTGTGTGCCACCATGTCTGGCTAAGTTTTTTGTATTTTTAGTTGAGATGGGGTTTTCACCATATTGGCCAGGCTAGTCTTGAACTCCTGGCCTCAAGTGATCCACCTCAGCCTCCCAAGGTGCTAGGATTACAGGTGTGAGACACTGTGTCTGGTCACTCAATAAATGTTAAGTAACTAAAAGAAACAGTCAGTATCTAAGGGTACTGTACTTAGTGCTAAGATTAACCAGTGAACAAGACAAATACAGTCTGCTTTCATGGAGCTTATAGTACTCAATGAGAATCAAATGAAAGAGAGAGGAAAAACTGTGATTAACTAAAATGTTTATCTCATTGCTTACCCACCTAAAGCAGGAATGAGCAAGGCCTGATTTTTATCAATCTTGGTTGTCATCTGATTGGTTAAAATTACCTAAAAAACAAAATGTAAGAAAATTAGGTGAGTCTCTTTAAAAATTATCAAGTAAAGTCTTGTGATTTTAGTAATCTGAAAACAATCTACCTACTAAAGATGGCCATTTATGTAATAAAACTTTTTCTGATTAAAAAACTTAAAAAATCTACCCATAAAATACGTAGTTATCTGAAAACACGATTCTACTGATCATAAAATATTTTATTTTCATACTTTAGAGATGGGGTCTTGCTAGGTTGCCCAGGTTGGCCTTGAAGTCCTAAAATCACACAATCCTCCACCTCAGCCTCCTGAATAGCTGGGACTAGAGGAGTTTGCCACATCTAGCTCACAAAACTTTTTTTTTTTAAGGGACAGGGTCTTGCTATGTTGCCCAGGATTTTCTTGAACTCCTGGGCTCAAGCAATCCTCCTGCCTCAGCCTCCCAAAGTGCTGGGATTATAGGCATGAACCACTGTGCCTGACCTACAAAAAACTTTTTAAAACATTGGTTGGGCATGGTGGTGCACAGCTGTAGTCCCATCTACTCAGGAGGCTAAGGTGGGAGAATTGCTTGATCCCAGGAGGTTGAGGCAGGAGTGAGCCATGATCATGTCACTGTACTCCAGCCTGGTGACCAAGCAAGACCTCATCTCAAAAAAGAAAAAAGAAAGATTGAGTCTTGCTCTGCTGCCTAGGCTGGAGTGCAGTGGCGCAATCTCGGCTCACTTCAACCTCCACCTCCCAGGTTCAAGCGATTCTCCTACCCCAGCCTCCCAAGTAGCTAGGATTACAGGTGCCTGCCACGACAGCTGGCTAATTTTTGTATTTTTAGTAAAGATGGGGGTTCACCATGTTGGCCAGGCTGGTCTTGAACTCCTGACCTCAAGTGATCCACCTGCCTCAGCCTCCCAAAGTGCTGGGATTACAGGCATGAGTCACTGCAACTGGCCTGAGTCCACGTTCTTTATCACTATTACCTCCCCAGAATATTTTTATTCAAAGGAATATGAAATCCTTAATAAATACCTCAATGTTTACATTTTTAGGAAGGAGGTAAATATAGTATTAGTTTATAATCTTATAAGAAAAAAGAAACTGAGGCAACAAATTATGAGAAGAGATTTAAAATCATAAAGAAAGTACAATATAAGTAGATGAACTAGGGAAAAAAAAATCCTAGTAGTCAGGTCAAATGACTCCAAATTATGATTATGCGAGGCAGCTAGTAACAGCCACAGGTGTTGCTTTGGAACTCACAGATGGCCCTCAGTTTCATATTGCTAATTCTCTTGGAATAAATACTGACCTACAGAAAAGGTTCCAGGTTTTGAAAGATAGTAATTTTAAATAAAACAGTGAAAACAAAAGTGTTTAAGGCTGACTTAACATAGAAGTCAGATCTGTGATTTTTCCACCCCAAAATCTCCAGAAATCGTTACTTTATATATTCTTCTAATACAGACCTTCCCTCCAGAAAAAAGAGTTAATATTGCAAGCTAAAACTGATAACAAAATTCCATGAAAAATGGTAAGAAAAAGTAGTCTACTCTGAAAATGAATTTTTTACGTAAGAAAACTGAGAAACAGGCTGGGCGCAGTGGCTCACACCTGTAATCCCAGTGCTTTGCAGGGACGAGGTAGGCACATCACCTAAGGCCAGGAGTTCAAGAACAGCCTAGCCAACATGGCGAAACCCCATCCTAAAAATACAAAAAAAAGTTAGCCAGGCATTGGGGCAGGCACTTGTAACCTCAGCTACTCTGGAGGCTGAGGCAGGAGAATCGCTTAAATCCAGAAGGTGGAGGTTGCAGTGAGCCAAGATTGCACCATTTTACTCCACCCTGGGCAACAAGAGCGAGACTCCATCTCAAAAAGAAAAAAAAAAACCTGAGGGGAAAAAAGGTTATTTGGCCGTTACCATTGCACTGGTAACACCCTAACATTTCTTTCTTTTTTTTTGAGACGGAGTCTTGCTCTGTCACCAGGCTGGAGTGCAGTGGTGCAATCTCGGCTCACTGCAACCTCCACCTCCTGGGTTCAAGCAATTCTTCTGCCTCAGCCTCCCGAGTAGCTGGGACTACAGGCATGTGCCACCATGCCCGACTAGTTTTTTTGTATCTTTAGTAGAGAAGGAGTTTCACAGTGTTGGCCAGGATGGTCTTGATCTCTTGAGCTCGTGATCCGCCCGCCTCGGCTCCCAAAGTGTTGGGATTACAGGCATGAGCCACCGCCTGGCCAAAATTTCTATTTAGCCACAAAGGAAACATCTGTGATCCCCATAGATCTCAATTAGATACCAAGGTGATCACATAATTTTCTTCTAGTTCCTCTCCCCTTACATGCCATAGGGCATTCTCCCTTTGTTACCTCACATCAGGCACCTTAGAATAAGCTAAGCAGGAACTTAAATTGGTAGCTTTTTTAAAGAATACTTCTTAGAGATGGGGTCTCATTCTGTCACCCAGGCTGGGGTGCAGGGGCACAATCATAGCTCACTGCCTTGAAGTCCTGGGCTCAAGAAATTGTCCTGCCTCAGCCTCCCTAGTAGCTGGAACTATAGGTATGCACCAGCATGCCTAGCTAATTTTTAAATTATTTGTAGAGACAGGGTTTCACAGTGTTGTCTAGACCAACCTCGAACTCCTGGCCTCAAATGATCCTCCCACCTCGGCCTCCCAAAGTGCTGGAATTACAGGCATGAGCCACAGTGCCTGGCCCATGTGTAGCTTTTAAAAGTTAAATTAAAAGTATAAATTCAGTAGCTCAGTAGCATTCGCTGTATTTCAAGTGAACAGCCATGCAGCTACTGTACTAGACTGTACATTTTCATCTTTCCATCAGTTCTACTGGACAGTGCTGGTTTAGAGAGTAGTTTACCCATTACGTATCTTCAGGAAAATATAAATCGAACTACTGATTTACCAGGTATTCGACATGTCAAAATTAGGATTTCCATTATTAGCAAATATTTATGTAGTAATTATATTATTTTTGCAAAATGATTGGCCTCCATGATACAAATGAAAATTATTATGTGATTATGCCAAGCTTCTAAAGAATAAGTAGTTTTTCTATGGAATCTCACTCTGCTGCCCAAGCTGGAGTACAGTGGCATGACCTCAGCTCACTGCAACCTCCACCTCCCAGTTCAAGTGATTCTCCTGCCTCAGCCTCCCAAGTAGCTAGGATTACAGGTGCCTGCCACCACATCCATCTAATTTTTTTTGTATTTTTAGTATAAATGGGGTTTCACTATGTTGGCCAGGCTGGTTGCAAACTCCTGACCTCAGATAATCCACCCACCTCGGCCTCCCAAAGTGCAGAGATTACAGGCATGAGCCACTGTGCCCAGCAGAAAAGAGGATTTTTTTAAAAAAAAAACTGGAACTCTGTTTCCCAGAACCCAGAATTACTTTCTCCACAGGGTACAAGGTTATAGTTGACCACAAGAAAAATTTGCATGAGATTTGAAAAGTGAAGGTGAAGGAGCAGACATTTTAAATATTCTGAAGGTCATTGTGAGGTGGGGGTTTCTTTTTTGGGGTGATGGAAATATTCTAAAATTAGACAGTTTTGATAGCTGCAAAACTCTGTGAATACACTAAAAATCACTGAATTGTACACTTTAAAAGGATAAATTTTAAGGTATATGGATTATATGTCATTAAAGCTGCTTAAAAAATTATCCTAATAATCAAAGAAACTTTTTTTTTTTGAGACGGAGTTTCGCTCTTGTTACCCAGGCTGGAGTGCAATGGTGCGATCTCGGCTCACCGCCACCTCTGCCTCCTGGGTTCAGGCAATTCTCCTGACTCAGCCTCCTGAGTAGCTGGGATTACAGGCACGTGTCACTATGCCCAGCTAATTTTTTGTATTTTTAGTAGAGACGGGATTTCACCATGTTGACCAGGATGGTCTTGATCTGTTGACCTTGTGATCCACCCGCCTCGGCCTCCCAAAGTGCTGGGATTACAGGCTTGAGCCACCGTGCCCGGCCTAAGAAACCTTTTTTTTTTTTTAGATGGAGTCTTGCTCTGTAGCTCAAGCTGGAGTGCAACCTCCACCTCCTGGGTTCAAGCAATTCTCCTGCCTCAGTCTCCCAAGCAGCTGGAACTGCAAGTGCAAACCACCACACCCAGCTGATTTTTTCATATTTTTAGTATGAAAATGTGGCCATATTGGCCAGGCTTGTCTCAAACTCTAGACCTCAGGTGATCCACCCTCCTCGGCTTCCCAAAGTGCTGGGATTACAGGCATGAGCCACTGTGCCAGGCCAAGAAACATATTTTTTAAAGGACTTTCCCCACATCAATTTGGCAAAGATTTAAAAGACTGGTACCCAAAGTTGGTAAAGATATGGGAAAAAAAGTGTTCCCATTCATTGCTGTAGAGACATACTTTGGAACACGGTTTCTGAGAGTAATTTTATAATAAATAACAAATGTTCAAAAGTTGATTTCTTTGGCCTAATAATTTCACTTTAAGAAATTTATTCTAGGCTAGGTGTGGTGGCTCATGTCTGTAATCCCAGCACTTTGGGAGGCCGAGAAGGATGGATCACTTGAGGCCAGGAGTTTGAGACCAGTCTGGCCAGCATGGCGAAACCCCATCTCTACTAAAAATACAAAAATTAGCCAGGTGTGGTCGTGTACACCTCTAATCCCAGCTACTCGGGAGACTCAGGTACGAGAAGCTCTTGAACCTTAGAGGTGGAGGCTGTGGTGAGCCAAGATTGTGCCACTGCACTCCAGCCTGGGTGACAGAACAAGACTCTGTCTCAAACAAAAAAAAAAAAAAAAAAAGAAAATCAATAGAGAGGTGGCTAAAAAACTACATTCCAGGCCAGGCACAGTGGCTCATGCCTATGGAAGGCTGAGACAGGTGAATTCCTCAAGCCCAGAAGTTAGAGACCAGCCTGGGCAACATAGGGAGACCTTATCGCTACAAAAAATTTATGTATGTATGTATGTATGAGACAGAGTCTTGCTCTGTCGCCCAAGCTGGAGTGCAGTGGT